TATTGAAAAGGAAAAATATATTTTTTTCTACGCCAGGACGACAGACGATTGGGAAAATCGCACATAAGCCATTCTCATGTCTCCATGGGGTAGAGGCTCCCAAACCTGAAGTAGTCTGATAACGTTTTTGGTACGCCTGGAAATGGTCGGTGTTGAGTGTCTCTTATCAGCTGATATCCTAGAAGTTTACCGTTTTTCAGGTTTGATTCTTGAAGCAATGATAATATGATTAAAACTTTCGTTATGATTGAACTAGTAAAATGCAGGGGAGGCAAATTTTAATCCAGTACCTTGAATCGCCGAGGTTTGCAAAATATTTTATATTGTAAATTTGTTGTCATATGGAATCCAGATGAATAAAAAGTTAGCTTATAGTTTTTATCGTTATGAGTAAACTAAACGTCCACTGCATCTGTACGAATCTGATAAATGTGGTAAAGCCCATCACATAACCATGTTATACATCTCATAAAAGAGTATCATCGAAGTTCTAATCGTATAACCCGAGGGACATCTGATCGAATGAGGCATACACAAACAGGACTTTTATAAACTTATCACAAGTACAGATTCTCTTCTTGCATCGACTTACGGGAGGGACGGAGTCAATGGATGAAATGAGCCGTGCACAAAAGTCTGGACAAATCATCCTTCACTCTGCCCTGGAACGCGTCTTCGGATGGTGCGTCCACCCTCCTGTCCCGCCCATGCATCGAAAATGGTCCCGAAGTGGCAGCAAATCGCGTCACAGGAGCCGGCGTGTCATGCTGCGTCTGCCGCATCCACATGTGCTGCTGTGTCGCCGTCAGGATTTCGATAGGCTTCGACAGGCTTCGACAGGATTTCGACGGGCAGCAGCATGACACTATTCTGACATCGTCAGGCGGAAATTGAGGAACCACTTTTGAGAAGCGTTAAACACACCAGTTGGAGACGCGCGCTCCATGCTCCAGGCACCTCTGCCTAAAGTCTGGGGGGATGACTTATTGCCAAATATCGGATAGTAAGAGGGTCATCCAATAAAAAAAATGGAAAAACTCGAATCACCCAAACTAACCCTGCAATCGCGCCGTATCGTCCCTCCGAGACAACAAAGCCATTCCGCAGGCTTTGTTAAGTTCTCGCTCTTTCAATGCGCAGAATCGCAGAAACAACGATGCCACTCCCCGGTAAAGACACGCGTATGCCATGAGTGTTTGGGGAACATCGCTGGGTGGCGACCTCCGTGAAGAGTGCGAGCAGCAATTAACCCAGATGTGGAGCACGAGTCGACCGCCAGCAGACTCGACAAAGGCAGCTGCAGAGATTGGCTTTTTGGGCCGCCAAACCTGCCGCTCCAGCACCGCGAGACTATACGAGAATGCTCTGTCGACGGAATTTTAAGGCGGGAGTGTAGTGCGGGATATATGGTAGCGCCGCTTGTTTCGCCGCTTTCCAAAGAAACCAGGTCATGGCTGGCATTTGTAAAACAACGCACGTCAATCTCTATACTGCGGGAAGCGTATACGCTATTCGTCGATGATGCGGGACACACCGTACTTCTGTGATGTGGTGCTGGACTTCCTTGGCTTTCTTTGCTTTTTTGACTGTTTTCGTTTTAGGCGAATCGTGTCTTCTTTACACTGGAAGTGCGCTGCCGACGCTTGCTGCTGAGCGCTTTCCTTCGGGAGCATACACAGCGTGAGCGAAATGGATTGGGCACACTTTGAACTGAGAGCATAAATCGGTTTCTTAACTTATTGCTCTGGGATTTACTATGGGGGTGCTCGAAGGTGGTGCATTAATTAATTGAGAGCATGAATACATAAAACCTCCAGAGTCAAAATAAATAAAATAAGAACTGGTTTTGTCTATGAAAAACTTCTCGCTACGCCTTGCTTCCCAAAATCATCAGAAAATCATTCTGGGCTATTCTGGCGTTTACTACAAAAAAAAAAAAAAAAAAAAGTGACTGAAAAGAAAATAGAATTGGCTTCCTATTCTTCACCTCATTTGACCCAAATAAGCGCCACCGTGACACAATGCAACATATAGGAAAAATAATTTTTGATTTTTCATGATTTATTCAGGTGAACCAATCTTTCCACAATTTTAGAGAAAGCTTCCACCACCTTCAGGCACCTCTGTAGTAAATCCTAGCGCGATACGTTAAGAAACCGATTTATGCGGTCGGAGTGCGTTCAGTCCATTTCGGCCACGCTTCATATCGAACCATGGATGTTGTTTCCGGCAAGGACAAGTACGAATGACGACCAGCGTTATGCGATGATGCCACGCACAAGCCATGTACATCGAAGAAACATGTCATGGCGAGAAGAGCTTTAGTGACCATGCAATGACCAAGATTCCGACGCCATCTAATGGGGCCTGTGTCAAGAAACGGGGTAGTTGAGTTGAATGGTCTATAAAATCCTTATACAGTATCCATTATTTCCTAACACACAATGCGCTGGGATAGTTAAGGTCCCTACGTACAGTTGTGTTTGAGAGCGTTTGAGTGTGTTTGACTGCATTGCGTCGAGAAATGAAAGCGAGTCACCGACACATCTGTGCTTTGTAAGACGCGTGGAATCCAATTCAAGGAGTAGCTTGGCACGCGACATAAGAAGCAGGGATGTCCTGGTTTCTCGCAGCCGCAATAAAGACCGTGAAAGAAAGCTCCAGCGGCGAGGTGTTTTGGTGACGCCCTCCTAGGGTTCTCTCTCGTGACGTCATTACCTTGCGAACAACAAGTTCGATGGTGTTTGTAATTAGCATGGGGGAAGCTTGAAATTATTACGCTCTTAAAGCAACACTGCCGACACCGTCAAAATTCAAGTCCTTATATTCCTCTTACTTCCATCGATGAGAAATCCTTTGCCGACGTCATAGTCAGCATTCGGCCAATGCTGGAAGGCCGACCACAGCGACGCTTTCGGTCGCGGCACCCGGGCACGTGATTTCGAGTCTCAAGCGCTCGCGCGCCCCAGGCTTCGCAGGCATTCTTTGAAGACTGGTTCTCCCATCTGTATCGGTTGCTGAGCATCATCGAAAAACACCGAACCAATAAATTGCAGAACGATAGAAGGCACGCGTGGCATTTTACGGCTTTCTAAAAAAACGCGCAACTTCGACGGGTTTTTAAGTTTCGGTTTGCAATCGGAGCGCTTCTCGGCCCCGACGGCACCGCGCCCCGTGGAGGAATAGTGCAACCAACCCCTGTTGCGCTGTCCTCGCGCAACGCAGTAGAGGCTGGTTGCACTATCTCTCCACGGGGCGTGGTGCCGTAGGGGCCAAGAAGCGCTCCGATTGCAAACCGAAACTTAAAAGCCCGTCGAATTTGTGTGGTTTCTCAAAAAGCCGTAGAATGCTGCGCGTGCCTTGTATCGTTCTGCAGTTCGTTCATTTAGCCTTTTTCGTTGATGCTGAGCAATTTTTTAATTGAAACCATGCCTTTAAACACAATATTAAAAACGTTAATTGCGCAAAAATAATTAACAACTTAATTATCCCAAACTTCAATAATTTTCCTAGATGGGCCCCTGGCCCAGAACCCAAACGACACAAACCTTTTTTTTTTGTTACGATGCGCGATGCGTAGTTTTCGCAATATCGAATTTGTCCACTTTTTTGTGAAACAGCCTGTATATATCAACGAGCACCGACGAAGCGCAGTGCAGAGAAATAAAGGCCGCAGTCTGATAGAATCTTCGAATATTTATTTGTGAGAATGCGCATATTGAAGAAACAATTCATGACACCTTCAAACGAACGGGTTAACAAGACTTCCAAAGAAATAATGCATGTGGCGCCTCGTCGCCTATGGAGTGCAGCTTCAACATGCAACAGCGGCGGATGGTGGGAGGGGAGAAGAGAGGGGGGGGGGGGGCGGCGGTCGGAACAGCTTTGAGGGGGGGGGGGGGGGGGCATGCCCCCACTGATTTAGAACCGGGCGACTGCCCCCCCCCCCCCCCCCCCCCCTCCGGTTCCGGAGCCCCTGGAAAAGTCTAAAATAAATTAAAAAAAAAGATTTTTTTTTTTTTTTTTTAATATTGACGTGCATTTCTGCTACTTTTAGAAAATTGACTTACGTTTCTGAATTAATAACAAAATTAATGTGATGGCTAAGCAACTATTTTTAAATAGTTATAAGCTGCATTTGAAGACAGACATTTTGGTAATGATCTAGGGCTCCGTACGAAGGGGATTTGGCTTTTGGCCCTGAACGTTGGAGAAGGCACCCCATCACCGCAGTCGGGGAAGAAGTGTGACTCTATCATGACTGATGTGATGCGTTGCAAAGCCGTTCGGCGCAAAATTACGGACGTGTCATGTGATAGTTATTCGGCCACTCAGCTAGTCGAGTGGCCTCAGTCTTGCTAGCGCCGTTCAGTATTTGAGATTTCACGCAGAGTGCCTGCGTTATGCGGAGAAAAGTACAAAAAGAAAAAAGAAAGAGAAGAAATTGCGTGGGGTGCGGCGTGGCTGTGTAAAAGCAAAAAAAAAAAACAAAAAAAAAACAAATCAAAGGGTTGAAAAAAGAAATCACGTAGGATTAATATTTAAAACAATGTTCCTACTTAAAACTGCCATTCTTGGACAAAAACAGTACCTGCCGAAACCCGGGATCGAACCAGGGACCTTTAGATCTTCAGTCTAACGCTCTCCCAACTGAGCTATTTCGGCACGCTCTTTCGTGCAATAACTTCTTTTGTGTCTTTTTCATTTCTTTTCGGTGTTGCGTTATTGCAACGAGGTAGTGTTATTGTAAGATTATTTTTTTAAAGTTTATACAGCAATTTTTTTTTAAATAAGTGTAGCACCATGCCTATTTTCCTCCCGGCAGATAGAGTTGCAAAGGACCGCTGTGTTCAAAGCCAACACTGCCTTCGAAAAACGTTCAAGCGCGCCGCAAGCAGCATGCCATTAAACAGGTCTGCAATTTTTTTTTCTTTTGACAAATTAGGTCAGCATTTGTTCGTATTCGAAAGAAATCAATATCGCATATTACTCTGGCGACTCCTCTGGCTCTTCGGCTCGCCCTCTGTGGGCTCGCCATCTGCATCAATCCGCATCGTCAGTGGCATTAGTACAATGGCTGCGACGCCCGTCGACATGGAGCTGAGAAAGGTACAAAAATATTACGTCTTTTTTAGGCTAATTCCTAATAGCTGCAATATTTGTATCACCTTTCATTTGTTCGTTAAATATTGCCTATTTGTTAAGGGTAAACATGCGACGTATTCTCAAGTGGGATCGAGTGTGCACTACCCGCGGTCACCCGCTACCATGGGTCATTTCGCAGGCATTTCAAGAGCTACAGATGAAGATGATCGACACAACACGGCGCCTGAGGCTAGCTGATGTTCAGATCGACAACCTCAAGAAGGGAATCAAGCGCGCCTACTACACCGGCGAAGCTGTTTCCGAGGCGCCGCCCAACACGAAGATGTATCAGGCAGTCGGCCGAATGTATGCGTGCCCATTCATTTGACACAACGCGCTTTGTCTATTTAAAAAGCCCCCATGTGGTACTAGATTGCTTTATGAGAACGTCGAGGCCCCACCAGAAGTCGTGCACGGGTGTTTGTATACTAACGTGCACACGGCTCTTTGATATCACCATCTCTAGTAATGCCCTTATATGGTCAGTGCCGGCCAATTTACCTGTTGTGAAATGGTAGCCTTCCTGCGACGCGCAAAGGCTCCCCATGAGTTGTTCACAATTAAATTACCCGTGAAACTTGGGGATTTTATGACATGGCTTTAGAGGGTTCTGTAAATGTTCCTTGTGAATGTGAAATCTAAGTTTAGAGCATTCGTAGTTGCGCGCACGTTCATCGTCGTCCGTATCTGGAGGGGTACGAAGACGAAATTTTAGCGCCTATTTTATTGACGAAAATAATCCCTGGATTAGGGAACAAAGGACAAACACAAATCTCCATACTGGTGCGTGACCGAAAAAATCCGCCTGGTCCTGGTATCGAACAAGGGGCCTCTCCATGTTCTCGTTCTCTAGGGAATATTTTCGTCATTCTTGTCCAGCTCACTCGCACCTTTGTATTTATTTGCAGTATCAACCTATTTTATTCTTTAAATGTTGACCATGTTGTAGTAACACCACAGAGGCACCAAATTTGAGATAAAAGAAGACGCAAAGACTTCATCTAAAACAAATCAAACGATTACCAGATCACACCTGGTGGATGTCCCCGATGCTTTATCGGCCCTCTTTTGATGGGGCAATAAATCAATTTCACCAGCGAGTTGCGCTGGAGTGCCTGGAGCACATCTTCGACTGGTGTGTTTAGCGTCCTTTGCTGCCCATACATCAAAAGTGGTCCCGAATTGGCAACAATTGACGTTACAGAAGCCGAAGTGTTGTGCTGTTGCATGTCACAATTCTGGCGGTTAATCGTAGAAATGCCAACGAGAAGCTGCGAGTAGCACAACCGTACGCGAGTGTCACTGTCGTCATGGCTTCCCAACTTCTGGCTGCCGAAGCTTCCGTGGACTGCCACACTGGAGAGCGACCTGCAGCAGATTAGGCGTCTGCCATATGCACCGCCTCTATTGGGATGCCGCCAGGATTGTGACTGGCGACGGCATAATACTTCTATGACGTCATCAGGCAGAAATCGAGGGACCCCCTTTTTTGGACGCGGTAAAGCACACCTGTCGGAGACGCGTTCCAGGCGCCATAGTTCCGCTATGCCACCACTGCCGCGATGCGTTATGGAACCTTCAGTGTGAAGATTCCGAGCGTGGAGATGCAGTGAAGATTTGGCTGTTGGCCAGCCCCGCACGAACAGCCTTAGCAATGTTGTTTCCACCGAATTGTTCTTTTCTTTTGCTCTGCCGTTATGGCAGGTTTCATGTGTTGCGTCCCTGGCTGCGGCAACAGCAACACCAGACACGGGGGTGTTGGCTTTCATAGCTTTCCGAAAGACCGGCGGTTGAGAGAATGGATCTCCAAAGTTCGCTGAGCAAGCAGTAAGGGACAGTAAATGAGTCTTCGCTCGTTCGAGAGAACTAGGTAATCAATGTGTCATGCGCGAAAACAAGTTCGCATGAATTCTGATTTTCCTGTTGTTGAGAATGGATTCAGACAATGCTGAGAGAACCTGTGGAGTGAACCCTGGGCCGGAGGTGCCATGCGATTGTGCTTGCCTACGATTGCATTTGCGTCCTGATGACGTGCGGCATCTACTGTTCGGTACTCGTTTGTTAAATGCACCACCTGTCTTTACTGGCAGCTTTCTGCACCATTGTTTCTACGTTTACAGTTTTTCGAAGTTCGTGCCCACTTCTCGTCACACAGAGTGAACTTAACAAGCTTTTTTTCATAGCCTTTGCTCGCTCGCTGAGTGTACACGGGTAAATGGTATAGACGCCTCCAACAGAAAGACGTTGGAGGCGTCTAGCCGGTGCCACCAAATGTTTTAAAACCTGAGTTGAAGGTAGACGCTACGAACAGAAACATGACAAACTAGCAGGCACGTAGCCAGGGGGGGGGGGGGGGGGGCACATAAGTTCGGGCCCCTCCCAAAATCCTCCATTTTGCTGGGACCTCTCCCCCCTCCCCCTCATGCAGCATTTTGTCATGGCCCCCCCCCCCCCCCCCCCCTCCCTCCCTCCCTCAAACCCTCCCTTCCCGAAACAAAATCTTGGCTACGTGCCTGCAAACTAGCATTGGTGAAGCATATTTCCGAAGTGTAAATTAATGTCTCGCACAAAGCAGGGTACAAAGCCAAACTATAAGCAGTAAGAAAACGGCTGCGCAGGGTGCAATACACCACAAAGCAGGGACAACGTGATCTGAATGTGCACGATGGCAAATGTTGCTCAGCATGTTTGTCAGCAAACTATCCAATTATTTTACGTTGCAAGAGCTTTTGCTAAACGCTAGGCTTATCTTTAACAAACAGTCTGGCGAGGCTTTCTGGTTACATCGACAGATGTCGGGCACAGAAATTGCGCAACATTGGTTGTTCTTTCCTGAGGTATGTTTATGAACGAAACCACATGCACAGCAAATTAAACCCGTCACTATCGTGTGTGCCCCTGAACATCATCACAACTCAAAACGGGCTTAATTAACCCATATTCATAGCTCAAAAAAGATTCAATGAACCCGTAATGATATACTACAATATTTTCTCCTAAACACTGCAAATGAGCTTCGTGGCAAAAGCATGATAAGCCGGTACCTCTTCAAGTGTTACATCACCAAGGACCCCAAAAAGGTGGACGGCATACTCATACTTCCTTAGAACAAAAAAAGTGGAACACTTCTGGTTCTTTTGGCGGTGTCATGTGTCAATGAGGGAACAAGGTGACGACGGCAGGTGGGCTTTGGACCTGCGTGAATGCACAGCCTCCCGCTTCCACCACATTCGCCGCGTCTGTGGACTAAAGTTATGGCAGCACCCAAGGTGGCTTGGTCAAGTTCGCGCATGTGCCGAACAACAGGCGATATCGGTCTATTTTTCCCAGCGTCGACGTCGCAACATCAACAACATGGGACCCCCCCCCCCCCGTGTTAGCACACAGCAAGCGAATCGCTACGATTTGTCATCACTATTAAATTTGAATTTTTTTGCAATATGTAGACATAATTACTTGTTAGAAATCTGTTTTTATATCTAAGTGGCTTTGAGAATACCAACTTATCTCCCTGAAACGGGTTAGTCCTGAAAATGATCCATTTCAAGCCAGAGCCAAGTTAAGCCCCGTCCTTAGTTGTCATCATTGCCACCGCAGGGGTGTCACGTGAAAATATTGTGCCTCTTGATTCGCTGCTGCCACTTCAAATGTCTCCGAGTTGTTTGAGTTGCTTGCCCATTTCGAGCCGGACCCAATCCCAGCCATTCATGTTGCAAAGTGACATGAGAAAGCTAGGGAATAGCCCTCCAGCAACCCTGAAATTGCTGATAAAATTGCTTGGTCTAAAGCAGGCCTTAGAATGTCGCTATGTCACTTGTCCCTTAACAGCTGCATGGCTCCACGGAAGTATGGTATCAAGTTACGTGTGTGCACTGCCTGTTGAACTTGGCCGAACCAGATTTTCTTTTTCTCCCGTGGCTGAAAAATTAAATTCCTCGGTCTGGGGAATAGAAAGGGAATCAGGGAAAGGGGCAGACGCTGAGGGGAGAGGAGGTCAGTGGAAGTCTGGGATGCTGGTAAATCGCTCCTTTGCCTCCGCTAGCTTTGTCCGACGCAGTCCTTGAGTATCTCAAATGGCTAGGTTGTAATGCGTTGATGCCATAAGTGGCGAAGCTCGTAACCACACCAGTCTCGCCCGTGCTGTGACAGTTGACATCATGAAGGTACCAAATATCCCCAAACTTGTCACTCTCTTCGATTGCTGCTTTCTGAGTGCTTGCCAGAATCGGCCATATTAGAACTAGAAATGTAGCCATCCGTTCAATGTTCAAACTTGCAGTTGTCATTTGCAGATATTTTTGATCATTTTTAACTTATTTCTGAAAGTGATAGACGTATTAAAATTTTTATGTTAGTATCTCCTTAAGTGTTGGGATTTGTGCTTATTGCATCATACTTTTTGTCTGTGCCAGGTTCATCGTAGCTGATGCTGATGAGATCAAGAAAGACCTTGACGAAAAAATCAAGACTTGTGACGAGAAAATTAAGAGTCTTGAGGTAGGCTGTGTTTTGTCACTTAGTCTGAGAAAGTGCTTTTGTATTAACTTAATTTTGGAACACCTACTATGTAGATTGCCACTAAACCACATTTCAACATTCAAGGAAGATGTTAGCGAAATATTCTGGACAATGACTCTACCAGTTCCTCCTTTTCGTGTAGCTTTTATTTGCAGAAGGCACGACATAGGGTCTATACTCTCAATATCAATGGTTTTATTTCGTTTCGCTTTTATTTTGTGAAGGCATGGGTTATGGTCTAATTGCCTAAGGTCGAAGGTTTTTACTGTGAACCTAAATGCCTAACCAGCGGAGTGCAGCTGTAGCTTCTGTCTTAGGTAAAACTAGTTTCAATAGGCAGAGCATTTGAAGGGTTGATTTGGATGTTGGTTGGAATTGAAATCTGAGCGACTCTGTCGACAGCTTGCACCAACAGCACGAGCACCAGCAAAGTCCTTCACACCCCCTCCCCTTCCCTCCGTGCTTGTTGTTTGTTAAAGGGGTTAGTACATGTCAAAAATGAAATATGAGATAACTATACTGCTAGGACCCATTGTGTTTTTATATTTTTGCTAAATTAGTTTCTAGAATGGCGCGACAATTTTGTTGATACATCGATTTATCTGGATCCACCCCATTCAGAAAGGCCGCCATGTTTGTTGGGTCGGTGACACCATTCGTTCGGCTTCCCCATTTATCTTCTGTGTATTGAGCATGCTGTTTTTGAGACGACGACGTCTTCGGCATCGCTCGCTTCGTCGGAGTCTTCAACACTGACCGCAGCAGCGATGAGAGTGATTGTTATCGAGAAATGTTGGAAGCTGGTCGTTTTGACCTAAACCTGCTGGCTACCAGCTGCAGAGACGACGACGAAAAGGAGATTGGCACGGGGGAACTCGTTGTCGTCCATAAAGATCTTGAAACGTGCAAGGAGGGTGGAAGATGAAAGGGCGAAGGGGCGAGTGCCATAGTTGCGTTAAAGTAGCCAAGCCGCATGAGTGTGTGCTACCGTACCTCGGCGAGGCAAGCTCGGGCGAGAAGGGGGGCACCTAGAATGAGAGAGCGTCCAACGAAACATCATGATCACATGGTATATGGGCACCATGGTGCGACTAACCTCGGCAATGTTGCCTGGTCGCTGGAAAAAAGAATGAATAATATTTGTAAATTGATTATTGCAATTACTAGAGCTCTAAAAATTATGAAATTTGGCTCGTATACTAAGTAGCCTACGAGAATTCAATTTTAAGAATAATCTACCCGTTTAATTTTCGTGTCCTAACCCCTTTAAAGGGATGGTGAAACGAAATTCGGATTTAAAAAAAAACAATGCTGGAGATTTAGGCGGGACGCTACAATCCCTACAACACTACTAGTAAGGCGATATCTCAAATGGACGGCTGTACTTTTGGAAAAAGAAGTCGAGATTGAACCAGGCCGACGAGGCGCGTGAGGTCAAGATACATAGTTTCCTCCTCCCTTCACTTCGCTCCCTCAAGGCCGCGAGGCAGAGAAGACGCAAGGCCGTTCCCCCTCCTTCTCGGAGAAACATGATGTCAACATTCCTGCCAAATGCGCCTCTTTTCTTGAGAAATACGGTCATCCGTTTGAGATATCGCTTTAGGAGCGATGTTTTGGTGTTTGTAGCGTCCCGTTGCACGCTTTTGCCGCGTGTTCTGGGGAATTCAGATTTCGGTTCAGCATCCCTTTAAGGTTTGCAGACTGTCGTGAAATTTGATACCTTTCATTTTAGCATTTTCGCCTTTATGTTCACAGACACTAGCTTGAAACGCTGACCCGCTGTTAAATAAAAGTCCAACCTGCCAGTCTCCCGTTTTTCTCGGATCGCCATAACCTAAAATAAAACACCCTCCTCGCACAAAAATTTTAACATTTCCAGGACTTCGAAAAAAATTTTGCAGCGCAACGCTGCCAAAAAAAATGTTTGGATTCGATTTTGCGAGCACCGACTCCGTGCCTGTGCTGCACATCTCAAAAATAAGGAGACGTTCGAGAAAAAAAAAAGGATTACATTAGAGGTGCGGCAGGAAGGATCGGAAATTGAAACAACTGTAAATGTTGGCGTCCTCGACGACGCAAGTGTGACCGGTGAAGGACTTTCCGATTGGATCAGACGCAAAAGGGCCGCAGGTACAGTGACTGCATTAGGTCCGCCACTATGCAACTGTAGCTAGCGTCGTTGGGGATGATGTTTGGTTTCAGTTGTGCAAATTGGTGCTTGGTAACGACTTCTTGTGGTGCCATGGTTTAGAAAACCTTGAATGAGTGACAAACTAAGAATCCGGTAGATGCTCCACCCATAGGTGTGATGCTCCTGCTCTACTTCTGAGAAAATGGGGCATCGTCTGCTGCGCGCTGCGGCGACACGGGCAGCATCGTTTTCTGGAGCGAGTGGAAAGAACGAAACTCGCTGGCAATCAAGCGATGCAACATCGTCACAAAGCGCGCGGCTACGGAGAATAGGGCAGACAGATTTTCTACCTCGTTTTGTCGAGGGCGACGGCAGGACACGAGTGAAACTTCAACGTTTGACGCATGGAGGTAGGAAGCTTCTGGATGCTACATGACAGCACCGGAGGTGAAGCCAGGCTTCCTGAAAGTTTTTAGTTTCTCTGGGCGCCTATTTTCGGTAGGATGACACGTAAGATGGTGAAAACACCGGATACCGGCACAGCACCCAGCACAACTCAGGGTTGAGGAGAATGCAATCAGACTAAATTAGGGGCAGGGAGGTAGGAAGCTTCTGGAGGTGACATGATGCCACCTTCAGAAGCTTCCTACCTTCATGATTTGACACCTTCATATGAAGCGGTGGTAGGACGACACAGTCATCGCTTGTCCGAGTTGCTGTACATCCGATTGTTGCGACGAGACTTGGCAGGGGTTCCACGCTTCACAGATAGATCGATACCGCTTCAAAGGCGTCAATTTGGGGCATCCTTTATTTATTAAAGCCTGCAGAGAAACTGGCGGAGTCTGGCGAGGGGTCACGGCGATGGCGTCACTTCATCATCTCATGCGGCATCGCGGCATACTGCAGCGACCAAAACGTTTTTATGTAGCCCCGTAGAAACTGCCATAAAGAAACGCTCACGCCGCTACGATGTGGGCACATAACTGGAGTTGGGGACGAGCGGCAAACTTACGAAGAGAGGCCTTTGGCACTGACAAAGCTTGTTGTCCGTAGTCTTAGCGGTTGCTAGGCTTGTCGGCTCGACGAAGTGGGCACGCCGAACACTTCGGTGGCGATGCAATCGTTGGATTCTCACCTTGTTACGTGGAAACCATGAGACAAAAGCAGATATCGGTGCAACTTCGTGATGTAAACCCAGGTGGGTTTACAGCTGGAAAATAACTGCGAGAACCCGCCATCCTTCTGTGTCAGCGTTCTCAAATAAATTTGCTGCCATTAATACAAAAAAATTGTTTGTCAAGCAATGACGTCAGTGACATCCAGGAAATGAAGAGCGATTGGCTGGTGGAGTGATACGAATTTCTCTGAGGGGCATTTGTTGCTGGTGTCTTAGCCTGTCATCGACTATAGCAAACTTCCTAGCTTCCTCCAGCCATCCGAAGTACGGAACTGTTTGTAATGTGTTGTAACGGAAATGCGGTAAACACCATCCACATTTTTAGCTTTACAGGTGAAATAAGCCAAGGCCTGTTCTGCTAACCGTTGTCACATACAACGCACCTCAGTGACATCCTCAAACACCTAGGGTAAAATAACCTGCGTATGATCGGGTTGATTCTGCCAAACTTGCAGCTATGAAATTAGCCCCCAAAGTTGCTCTATCAACTTCAGGGAAACCAAAACACCCCACATTGGAGCTGTTCTCGAATGAGAAATATTCAAGCTTTGCAAGCAGAAATCTTTATCTACACTTTTATTTTGTGTTGACCCAGAATAGAGAAGTTTCCACGAGTTCTTTCTTTTGGGACCCCTTATCATCTCGTTTTATTCTCTTTCTTATCAGTACTGGGAATTTTTTACCAGTATGTGTGTACCACTTTTCTTTTTTAACTTATACCCCAATATATGCAAATTTGTCGTCTAACGCCTTAAATAATAAAAACAAAAAAAAATCTAAATTTGTGGGAAGGAAGAAAATTCCGAATACACGGAACCCTACATATAAGGTAGGACAGTGTTTTGCTTGTCAAGTGGTGGTTGTCAACCTTAGCTTAAATGCCCCGGTCATCTGACCTCTGTAAGTTTAGATGCATGTGACTAGTGACACGGACTATAGTTGGGCACAAACGGTATCATCATCCCACAGCGATAGAATATCCGTTTTGCTTGCAAATCGAAAAATTTGTATTTTAGCATAAATGTTGGGCAAACAATTTTTGTTTGCCCAGCACCAAGTTACGTGATTTTTAGAGCTCTGGTAAGTGCAATATTCAATTTACCAATTTTTATAATTTCCATCTGGCGACCAGGCAACACTGCCCAAGTTAGTCACACCATGGTGTCCATAAACCATATGATCGTGAACGCTCTCTCATTCTAGGCGCCCCCATGCCGCGATACGATCAAAACCGTTCACGCAACTCAGCAACCCGAACGCTATTCTCGCACTCGCCCCGGCCCTTTGACCTTCCACCCTGCGTGCGCTTGCGACATATTCCCGGACGACGGTGACCACAGCGAGTTTGTCTGTAACTCGCTCCAGCGACGGCGAGTTAAGGACAAACTCGCTGGAGCTGGTCGCCAGCGGGTCGCAGTCAAAAAGGAACAGCTTCCAACATCTCTTGATAGCTATCACTCTCATCGCTGCGGTGATCAATGTCAAACACTTTGACAAGGCAAGCGATGCCGTAGACGAAATCCTCACGGACCGCATGCTCAAAACACGGAAGGTAAACGAGGAAGCTGAATCTTGAGACACCAAGAGAGCCAATTCTGTGAGTGCTTGCAAGGGGACGCCGTGCAGGAGGATGGCTACATAGCCAGCCTCCAGCTCCGCTTGGGACCTGCATATAAATCAATTTATCCACGAAACTATCGTGCCATTTTCAAAACAAATTTAGCAGGATGATAGGAATATACAATGTGTCCTAGCAGTACTGTTATCTCATATTTTATTTTTTGCATGTTATATCCCCTTTAAACATAAATATTCACATTCTAAAATATTGAACTTCGATTCGCAGTCAAACATTTTGTATTCGCACACCTCTGATGTAAGGCCTTCTACAGTATATAGAGTTATAGCTCTTTTCCACATGGGTGCCGCCATCTTGAATGTCTTCACCTCTGGTATGGGCAAAAACACTGTTTTGCCGTTGCTATGCCAACGGAGGACATTTAGGATATAAGCAAAACCGTCACACATGCTTGTTTTGCCTCCTCTTTATTTTTTTACTATTTACAGGTTGAAATGGTTTATTATTTCTTCATTGCCCATGTCGGATGTGCCTATTAAGTGGCTGAGGACGAGAGTAGACGAAAAAGGTCTAGGGGGTGACTGAAGTAACCAGGCTCGATTTAAAAGGGTCCGTAAAAATCTGTGCCTGTACGTAACAGTCTAAACTTTTCACCGAAGGTGTATTTCACTGGTCGGTTTTATCATGCAAAATTACAAAGCGTGATGTAAACCCAGTTGATGGAAAGGGGTTTGGCCCTTTTTCGAAAAAATAGGGTCAAAAAACTAGCCAAGGTCAACGCCAGACGGCAACGCAGATGACCGAGTGGAGTGGCGGGGCAAGTTTGGCGCACATATTGATAGATGGCGTCGGGAGCAGGGCTGGAATGTGCAGCCAACGTTACTAGATTACCTCAATTGTGGAACTCCCGCGGAAGGGGGTACGCCCCCTCACTCACTTCAGTCTACCTCCCGTCGTTCAAAGTGCCATCTAGATTTTCGTTTACGAAAATCTAGATGGCACTTTGTCCCCGGCACTCCTTGAAGGTCCAAACCAAGAGACCAAAAAGTTTGAGAACCCCTGCCATAGAGTATGGTGGAATGCCATCTAGACGCTGCGCTTTGAAACATACGTATCCCATAGAATACACTGCAGTTACTAAAGCAGCTGCCCGGCGCCTCGAACGAGGGGAGGCGAGTCGTGGTGAGTGAGGGGGGTACTGCTCATGCATGCAGTGTCTATGAGCAGTTCCGTAACTGAGTTATCTAATAACATTGGGTGTAGCCGACCAGCAAAAGAAAGCAGACGATACGCTGGCAAAACCTGTCGGCAGCAAGAATGCTGTCGTTATGCAACCACTTTTTTTTTAACTTCAAGTTTTGCTTTTATTGTTTGCATTTAGTTTTAAATGACAGTTACATTACACAACTATTATGTTCATCTTAGTAGACCACGGTCGTCACGAGCAGTCTCAATAAGGATGTAGCGCCATCTATCAACATGTGCGCAAACGCACCCTGCCACTCTACTTGGTCGTCTGCGTCGCCCTCCACCATTGACCCTGGCAAGTGTATTAACCCTATTTTTTTTTACAGAAAGGGAGCTACGCTTTGTAATTTAACAAGATAAAACTGACCTGTAAAATACACCTTTAACGAAAAGTTTAGATTGCTGCTACGTGCAGAAATCCATTTCTACTGCCCATTTCAGTTCAAGCCTGGTTATTTCAGATGCCCTATACTTCTTAATGGGCAAGTTGTTATTTCTGGAACTTGTCCATTTTACCTTCCCTGGTCTCGCTTATGCAACAGGCACGTGTGTCATATTGGAGTGTTGCTATTTCAGGTCAGATATTGTGGTGGATGTGCCTCATGCTAAGGGTGGGGCTTACACAGGGAGATAAGTAAGGTACTACCGCTTACCCAAGATGGTGATGCTCTTTTGATATATGTGCGCAAACAGATACACAAGTAAAATTTTGCTACATCATGCAAGGTATTATTCTATGTACTTTTTTATTTTAAGTTTACTTCACGAGAGTATAAATGGAAAAGGTGTATCATCTGCATTTTAATTCTGGCCCTAATGCAAGTGCCTTTTCTTTATATTTGTTCTATTTTTTTTTAGGGAAAGGCACTGCTTACTATTGAGAAAGTGTACGTCTGCATAATAGCTGAATTTCGACATTGTCTTCCAGAGCAGCAAAAGTTACCTGGAGAAGAGCCTCAAGGAGTCTGAAAACAACCTCAGGGAAATGATCGTCCAAAAGCAAAGCATGCATTGAAATCACTTAGGTCATTTTACACTTGCGCTGTCTTAAGTAACTCATTGTGAAATACCGTGTTTTAAAAGTCTGTAGTGTGCTCAAAATGGTTAGGGGTGGCATGCATTCAAATATCTGGATGAAAACTTTCTTTTTTGTTTCTTTGTCTATATTCAGAGTGTATGTTGCTGTTGAGTAAAAAATACTTGTTTGCGGACAACTGCGAGTCTATCAAGAAAAAGTGTCATGGGTACGTTGGGGTTTCTGCATGAAGATCATTTTACAAACACTTAAGGGGAATTGGGGTTCGCAAATAAATACTTTTTTTCTTTTGGAATCATTGGTGTGTACTTTTTACAAATGTTTGCCGTCCAAGCTAGAATGGAGTGTAACCTGCAAGAAATTTTCTTCCATTGTGAATGGCACTTCTTTATTGGTTAACTTTACATGATCATATAACAACGGTTTCATGTTGACATAGCTATCTTCATAAATAGCAGTGCCCTTCCTCTGAAGTAATTTTGTGCTAGTAATACCACACCACACGTTTGGTTTGGTGCTCAGCGTAAGCAATACATTTGTTTTGATTCAGTATAACTTGGCGTCCTCCATTTGACCATTGCCCATTGTCAAGGCTATTTCTTGAAGATGAACACTTCCTCCGAATCGTAAGCCACAACTGCAAAGGAACTTCCATCCTCAGCCATGAATGCGCCACCTACAAGCTGAGAATTGGAGATAGTCGCGCTGTATTTGAGCATAATCGTTGATTCGCCATCACGATCGAGTTGCCAAACGCGGACAAAAGAGTCCTCGGACACGGAGAGCATGAGTCCTGTGTCCGGTGCCACATCAATCGCCGAGATCCACCTCGCATGAGCGGACGCCTCAGCTACAAGCTGACAGGATTCTGTGCTGAAAACGCGCACATGTCCCGTTGCGTATCCCGCAACCACCAAATCGTGCCAAACGCGAACGCTCACACAAGGCGCGCCCGCTGTCGGCAGCTTATGAAACAACGCAATGGCCGTTTTGCCTTTCCACAAACAGATGGCGCCACCGTCATCAGCGCTCGCCATGACGTCATCGTAGCTGTGTATGTCTGTGATCGGATAGTCGTGCTGTTTGGCACGCTGGCAGAAAGTAACGGTGTTGTCGCGCGAAATGAGATGCACAAGAATAGTTCCGTTGTGGCAACCGACGCATAGAAGGCTCGAGCCACACGTTCCTATCCCGCGGCCGTAGGTAGCTTGACTGGCGTCGAGGTCTTGAGAGAAGGGATGACAGTGAAGAAAGACTGATCCATCCCACTCGAAGATCTGGAACGATCGCTGCGACGCGATGACTAGGAACGTCTTGGAGTTTCCCATTCGGACCCACTTGACTTGGATCAGTTGCGTGCAGGGACTCCCACCAACATCCTTGCAAGTTACTTGAGAGTGGTTGACGGTTCCGTCGGGTGACTTCATCAGGGTGTTGACATGCGATCGGCTTACGAAGGCCAAACTCACTTTGCCAGCTTCCAAGCAACATGTCAAGTTGTTGGACAGTGCCGAGACACTGTTTTTGCACATGATACTTTTGTCCTTCCGATACATGACGCTGATGGCTACAATGAGCCTTGTCCCACCTTCAATCGCAGTGCTGGCGAGGGCATTATTGATTTCTTCGCCAAACAGGGAACAGAGAGCTGCTATGGCAACGATGTATTTCAGAAACACTACACAAGAGCCGATGACCGCACTTTGGTGTCTCGAGGATCTATACTCCCACTCGCGCGATCGGTGTCATGACCCGCTGCCATGGAAACACGTGGAAACTTTGATAACTAATGACACGAACGTCATTTCCCACGATATGTAACTAGAGCTGCAGCTAAAGTTTATGCGCAGACAAATCTAGAGTAAACTGTAGTTTGGTTTATAATTTCAGGCTGGAGCGTCCCGATCCGCAGTCTACAGAAACCGCGCAAAACTAAACCAAAATACCGAAAACGAAACGAAGGAGCGCCCCTAGTATCGCGCGGAGCAACTATGCGAAAGCTAGCGTCCTCTAGTGAAAGAAACGCGAAACAAGTTCGAAGCGCGCCCTCTGTCGATGGCGTTGCTAACCGTCGAGTGTCAAAAAAGGCTGGTTTGCGCGCGTGCCGCTTGTCTCACTGCAGTGAAAAAAGCAGTCAGGAGTCGATAGGGGTGTGTTGTTGTGCGGCAGTGTTGGAGCCCAAACGGAGTCCGTAGACCCGTGATCTTGTGCTTCAGGACCTTTCGAAAGGAGGATACGTCTACCAGGAAAGGTAAGGCATCGAAATATACTCGACACTCCGCCAGCGTTTAGCTGGGAATATCAAGTCGATCTCGGGAGAAGAACCGAGGCGTCAGTGGAGAACACCGCGCGGGCGCCATAGCGTCGACAGTGTTTCCCTGTTCGGGTCGCTGCATCGCATTTTCCGAGTAAATTCACTGCGATACGCGTGGTTTGGAGAGATGGTGGCGGTAGTTCGAGCGTACCAAAGTTTGCTGGGACGTTTTCTGATTTTCTAGATGGATGCGCTAGTTGTTTTTTGATTTCAACTCCGAGAGGAACGGAACCTTTTTGGATTAACGCGCTTTGTAGAGAGAGAGAGAAAAAAAGTAACTAATCACTTGGCGTCTTTGTAAATCGTAGTAGTTTCTGTGATCTCGCGTCGCTCGAACACTTCTTTATAAAATGCTCGAACAGTATTCGAAGGTTGTATGGAGGACTCGCGAATCTTAACTTGAAGGCAGTAAAAATAATGGTTTCGATCGTTTTATTTATACTGGCGTGTATTTGATGAAATATTTCAACCAATTGAGATCTTTGTCTTGCCGGCCGTAGAGTATTTAAGCAATACTATTTATGACGGATACGTACGCTACTTTATATAAAATTTAATGTAGACTCAACCGCACGGGCTGTTCGTGAATATATTTTCCAACTAAAGCGATCACAATCGATATCTCCTCATCAACCAAACAAGAAAAAAATATATATACATACACACACAAGTCGACGGGGCACCAAACCGCTAGACAAGGATTTACAAATTACTTCATCTAAATCTCGCCGAATGCTCTCAACGTGACGCAGCGAATGGTGCGTCCAGTTTTGGCCGGAGGCACCTTTGCTACACGGCTAAATTATGGGGAGCGATCGCGCTTTCCCCTTCGCTTTCTTTCCTACTTTTTTCCAAATGTAATAACTAAAAGCGATGATCTGTGGAGGCAGGTCCGATCTGGTCTAGCCTCTCTCAGAGGCAACATTTTCAAGGTCTGGGAAAGCGCAGGTGATGCAGCAGCTGGTAGACGAGAGAGAGAGAGAGAGAGAGAAAGGTTTCCAGCAAGTCAGTAAAGTAAAGTCGAAGGCAAAAACCCCAACACAACCGTGACCGGCCACTCCTTCTCACGCTCTTTTTGGAGCATTTGGAGTAAAGAATTGGTGCCTCGTACAGAAGAGAACTAACGATGACCGTCCGGCCTCTGGCCGTGACTCCTACGTTAGCATCTCCTCTTTCGCAAGTCTTCTCTCTCTACGGAATAGAAACTTCAGAATTTCAATAGCGATTTCGAAGTTCCTATTCTCTAGGCATGTGATTCAGCGGGCTTACAAACGACGAGGACAAGGCACAAAATATTTTACTCGTTCTAGGAAATGCTGTTTGAGTGATTTAATACGGGTTGTATTAAATCACTCAAACAGCATTTCCTAGAACAACTCAAATATTTGACTTGTTCTAGATAGTTAAGATTTAGAAATATATTTAACAATCTAAAAAAAAAAAAGAAACCGAAAATAAAAACTCAATATTTGCTAAGCTTTTTTTTTTTTTTTTTTTTTTGTGAGCGGTATATTTGCAAGACATAAATAAAATCATAAAAAAGAAGCACCGCTTTAAATAAACGAAGAAAGAAAATTGCGGGTCTGTTTTAGAGAAATGTTTCTCTTGTGATAAAAAAGGAGACAACCAAACGTGCCTTGGACTCAAAATAGCGTAAGTGTCATCGAGGCGGTCATTTTTGCATACATTCTTTTTCGTGAAGCCGACGCAATAATGAGCTCCCAAAATACTTTCTTTACAATAACTGACATGTTAAGAAATGCGGGGCGATCCCGAGCGTCTTACGATCGCCCCGCGGCCAATGGGAGTGTTGCATTCGATGCTAAGAACACCGAAGGACGAATCACGAACCAAGGAGCGTGGAGGCCACACCCTTCGTTATCAGTCACTATAACTTGTCGGTGAAAAGGGTGAAAAGTTCCCATATACGCTTCGCCGACTTCGACGTCTTCTATTTCTTTCAGTCACCTATAGGGTACTCGGAGCACCAAAATGCACGCTAAGAGGTATTTCCTAAGTTAGTTTAATCGGATGTCCGCAAAATACTGTAAACGACTAAATTTTCGCGAATTCCGTGAATCGCCTACAATTCGCGAAAAATAGGTCCCGCGAACAGTTCCGGTAAAATGTAAACACATTGGAATCTGTATTGAGATCTCACAGCATCGCGAAAATGAGAACCAGTGAGTTCTTCAAAAACTGCAGCTTTGACCTAAATCGCGAAATATTGAGCCCGCGAAAAATAAGTCGTTTACAATATATCTTAACATAATATTTTTTTTTCGTAAGATTAAAAAAAAATATTGGTTCAAAGGTACATGATTGGGTACATAATGCACTCGCGTCCTTCTGCTTTGTTGGTTTTCCAACTTAATCCCAGGCAGGGATGGGCAAAATACATGCAAATATGTATCGAAATACAAATACAAAATACTTCGTCAAAAATGTATTTAATTACAAATCTAATTACATTTAAAAAAAAAGCATTTAAGTACAAGATACAAATACATCCAAATGTATTTGGTCTCCTCCAAATACTTTTCCAAATACATTCCTCAAAATTTGCGTCAGCGACTTCAGAGCGGGCACCTGCAACGGGTTTCTGGGTATCATTCTAACCTTGCATCGCACACTCCGGAGTTAGTGTGCGAGGCTCTAGTAACGTAATAGAAATATGATCACAAAAAATGTAATCGGCCTTGACGTAATAGGTGAAAAAAGTACAAAGCTTCAAGGAGCTTTTTTTTTTTTTTTTTTTTTTTTTCGTCGATTACATTTTGCTATAGACGAACGAAGAACCAAGGCGACCAAGACGCGCAGCACTAGCTAGAGAATTTTTTATTATTGCGGTAACTCGCCCCAGTTACGAAAATCTGGACGACTCGCGCATTTAGAATGTTCCAGGAAAAAATATGGATGGAAATCAGGCTAGAAAGCACCACAAGTTGTCAGAGGCACTTATTTAGCCAGTCTGCCTGTAAACGTCGATTTCGTCACTATTCTTGCCCTGGACTAGCACCGTTATCACAAAGTCACTAAACGCTTGTGCTTGATTGAGAGACACTGCATTCGGTGCAGGACATGGTTTTCTTCCTGCTCTGGACAGTGACAATAAATTTGAGAGATGTATTTTCGCCCACAAAATTGTATTTAATTACAATTGTATTTGAAATACCCACGTTTTAGTATTTAAATACACACGTCAAATAGATTGCCCAATTTGTAATCAAATACAAATGAAAAATACACAAAGTATTTAAAATACGTATTTCAAGTACTTGTATTTGAAATGCTGGCCATCCCTGATCTCAGGTAAACAACAGCAACGACAAAAGGCTGGTTAGTTTTAGGTCAAACAAACACCTGTTTGTTGTGTCCCATATATTCTCAAATGCAGAAATCAATAAACCTTATTCGACGAAAAATAAAAGAGGACAATCTCGAGCAAATGCATTGACAGCGAATCATAATAATAATTGGGGTTGTGTGGATATTTACACAGCGTGTAGTTGGTCAGCCATTTCAAAGTTGCGACGAGTCCTTCGCTGTAGATAAGCAATTTGGCCAGTGCAGTAAAACCGCTAGCCTGGGGTCTTTAACGTACATCACGCAGTAGTGATACACGATCGCACACCGGTACGATGCTCATTCATATTGAAACGGGCAGGGGTGGGGGATTGAGCCCAGGATTTCTGGGTTCTGCGGCGTGAGCTTTCACTCCACGTGCTCCGAGCTGGTGTGCGCTAACGTACGCTGCCACCGATCCCCCCTCATTGACAGCGTTGCGACAGAGCAACTAGCTGTTTGTCTTTTTGAAGGTCTTTCCATCCTATTTTTTTTTTTTTTTAAATAGAGATATTTCACCCGAACATTTAGTTTGCTGTTCTGAGGGTCTAGCCCTACTGCAGAACGACACGCACCAAAAAAACAAGCGCTAAACGATTGCTTAAATCGCCAAAATGAGAATTTTGGCTACCAAAGCAATCTGCATAATCCTTATTTTTTGAAGAAACATGTTCATTTGGGGCCTGCTTTATTGCTGCACAAACAAAAGATGCCGGAACGCGTTTCAAGTAACAACACTTTTGTCACTTGCGCAACGTTACTTCATTTTTTTCCTTTCTTTCTCCGCACCTAAATAACGACTGCGTTCTATCTTGCTACAGAGAGCAGTTACCTTTTGCGAAGAACAAGCACATTGCGCGACACTGTAAGCACGAACAAGCAATCACCAGCTTTTCGAAATCACCAGTTTTCCGTTTCGTATACGCGGGGACGTGCGAGCTGGTGGCTCCCTCTCGTTTCCTCATCTTTCCCAATTTGTACCCATATGAAGCGCTCTAAGGAGGCGTCAGCTGATGTCGATGAGGCCGATTTCTTTTAACGCTATTCGCGGTTTTGTTTGGTCAAGGGTTTGCTTTTTATCGTGCATGAGGAGTGCAGAAACGAACTGGTCAAACTGGCCTGCTGACCGATCGCGGCTGCATACAGACGTCTTGATTTCGCGCGGTATACCTACCACTTCATGAATAACTTCTTAGTGACTTAGAAATATGCTGTTCGTCGTCGAACGAAGGGATTGTTTTCTCAGTATTTGTGGACCAGCATAGATGGACTGCACATGAGTGCGATGTTTGGTCGTACGCCGTGCGTAATACAAAGAGCGACACCGTGCGTAGAATGCATTTGTGCGAATGATTCGGAACTTCCCCATTGGTATTCATTTTTACGGAATGAAAGTGTAGAGAACAAGTTTTTTTGTCCTACGTATACTTATTTGCAATATGAACAAAAATAAAATTAAGAAAATAATTGAATCATGCTTACGAAAGCTCAATGTAGCGATGCAAGCGAGTTTTATGATTACAAACTGGTAGCAACGCAAAAAAAATGAAAAATAAAATAAAATAATTTCTAAAAGGAAGAATAAATAGGAC